CATTAGTACATATATTACAATTACGTCTATTGAAGTCCACACGCGTGTGTATTACCACATGCTTTCGCGATTGAAATACTTTTTAATAAATATACTAAAAACGAAATAAACTAAAATTTTCGAGGTACTTTTTATATAATGGCGAATATTTAAGATGCCCACAATAATTTGTAAAGAAAACTCTACATATTTCAGTAATGAGTAAAGTGATAGAATAATACAGTGCAGTGAATCACTGGTAGCGGTGGTGGGAATCTCCGCATGTGGAGTAGAATAAACTAGATCGGTACAGCAGTAGAGGAGCAGAGTAGAGTACTGTGCAGTAGAGCAGTAGAGCAGTATCGTAGAGGAGAGTACAAAATATTAGAGCAGTAGAGCAGTATAGTAGAGTAGAGTACAGTAGAGCAGTATCGTAGAGGATAGTACAGAATATTAGAGCAGTAGAGCAGTATAGTAGAGTAGAGTACAGTGCAGTAGAGCAGTAAAGTAGAGCACAGTTCAGTAGAGCAGTAGAGCAGAGTAGAATGCAGGAGAGATGTTATTGTTGTTGTTGTTGTTGTAGAAGCCATTTGACCCTGACATTGACCGTGGCCTCGACCACTTTTACCATTTCTAAAATATTCCGTGGCCTTGAGTTCAAGGCCATGGCTTTGAGCTCAAGGCCATTACATTTTACAAATTTTCAGATTTTCCGTGGCCTTGAGCTCAAGGCCATGGCCTTGAGTTCAAGGCCATGATGGCCTTGGGCTCAAGGCCATTACATTTTACAATTTTAAAATTTCTACATTACTAGGCCAAGGCCATAGCCTTGAGCTCAAGGCCATATCCTTGAGCCATTTTCAAAATGTTTACATCACTCGATTAGTCATGGTCATCGGTCATGGTCATGGTCAAGTTGTGTTTATGTTTCGCCTAACAACATCTCGAAAATATCTTACCGTAGTCATTGACAAGATTTGAACACGGGATTATTGAGTACCAGCCCAGCACGCTACGCTAGCACCCAAACACACCATTCCTTAAATGTTTAGAACGAATCTATGTGTTAACATTTGACTCAACATTTGAGTTTCAAAATATTTAACGAAGTTACCTCACAAGAATTGAACACGGGACAACCCGGTTCTATTCCAACACCTTACGCACACGCCTAAACTTACAACTTCTGAGTGGTTCATGTCTGATGTGTGTGTTATGTTTTCGTTTAACAGCAAGAAAAGTCAACAAAGAAGTCATTGCCGAGCATAGATTTTAAAGTGGAAATTTTTATTTATAAACGAGATAGAAATACTTGTACAGTTCTTTTCGTGCAAACCATTTATTATTGACAGAACCGTCCTATATTTATTATTGTTTATACTAACAATAATAATAATTTATAATACAGTCGTGCAATGCTAATTAATCGAAGCAATATCCCTTCAAACATGGATTCACACAGTGGTACTCGCCTCTGGTTTTTCTTGTCCGCAAAAACGGATAGATATACATGGACAAATAAATTCTAAAGAAAAACCACATATACTTGCGTAGGCCCTATATGCTTTAGGGGTAGCTAGAACTAACCGCACTAGAAAAGGATATATTTGAGAGCACGTGTACGCCGAAACGGGACATTTATAATTATATTGTAATATTTGTAATAATAAAACTGCGCCTATAGTTTTACAACCCCCTAACTAATATTAAGCCACAGTAACGAGTAATAAACAGTAGATCCAAACCGCAACTGCGGGGCATCTACATCGAAGATTAGTACTAGTTTTTAAAACAATTTCAAAAGGGAACATCCTTTTCATCGTTCCCACAGGCAAATAACCACGTATTTTATTGAGTTCACTCCCTCCGTAACAATTAACTAACAAAATAACTAGCGACAAAAAAAACCATTAACGACACGAACACATGTAACTTAACGTAACGTTAAATTATTCCCTGTGTTTCTCTGGTGTTTTTCTCGCATATTCACTCAGTATTTCTCTGCTATACTTACTAACATTGCTAAAGACATATCCTGGCACGAGAAAACACATGAACATGTGGCTATAAATAGTAACTGTTATTATGCACACTGATAATAAATTAACCAGGAACCTTTCACAGAAGATGAGATTTTGGCTGTCACATATTCAGAGGTTTTCATGAAATCTAATTCGGCCTCTGATCTCGCATACATAATCATTAATTATAGCAAATACCATTTTAATCAAACATAGGGACATGCCCCGTGTAATAATATATATATATATATATATACATAATATAGGTACACTACATAGAAGGATATAACACATGAGAAACACAGCGTAGTAATACTGTTAATTCTCCAGAACAGAATACAAGAAGGCAGATACCATAGAATTGCTATTGACTAAAGCAGACAGGCATTCATGCACTGCTTATGCCAGAAGTAGAGGTATAGCACATTTTCACGTTTTCAAGGTTATATGCCAATTACTTTTTAGGCATCTAATATATTACTAAAGACAAGTTTTCTACTACTACTATTGTTCCATAGCAATTTTACACTATTGATCAATGTCGACTGTAGTGACATATAACAATAAAGCAGCAGCTCTATTTGATACCAATGTTCTCCACACACCTTCAGCGCATGTAGGGTCTGACATGCCTTCAAAGCTGAATCCAATTTGCAACAGCCCCTAAATAATCTAACATCATTAAGCCCGGCGCACACGCTGCGGAACATAACTGCTTGTTCGACATGCGTTAATTGCTTGTTCGACATGCGTTAATTGCTTGTTCGACATGCGTTAATTGCTTGTTCGACATTTCCACGTCTGGGGACTGGTCT